AGATTTTTTTTTTTTTTACACCTGATATGTAAATTAATACCTTTTTCTGTGATTTTACTAGATATTATCTGTCATGAGAAAACATGGCTTAATTCAACAAAGCATGTGTTGGGAATTACCTTTTCAATTTTAAACAGCAGTTGTGTATTTAAACACACGATATTTAAATACTGAAAGCAAAATAACGCAACTTGAAAATACCCTACACAATATAAACATTTAAAGCTCTTTCGAGCTCAACAGATTTGAGTTCTTATCGACTAGTTTGCTAGTTTGGTAGGATGGTCAAATTTCACTGCTAAAAATGACAAGCATAAGTTCCACACAGTAGCACAACATATTCCACCAACTGCATTAGAAGGTATAGCATAAATCCCATATATGAGTCAGTATTTTCTCTAATTCATTGCTATAGCAGAATTTAAAGACATGATACAGACCTTTATATGTCATTTGTTTTATGCTTGTTAGCCTCCAGGCCTCTCACACACTATCTCAACCCTCTGAAATTGTCCAGACATGTTGAGTAGGTAGAGGGCGGGGTTTTAAATCCTAAACTAAAAGTGAAGAAAATTAGGTTATCTGGTCAACTTCATTGAGTTTCTACAACTTGAATTTAGTTTTGAATGAACTAAGGTGGAAATGTAAGGTTAAATTACACACAATATTAAGTTGGTGAGTTACCAACATTGTCATTTTCACCCAGCTCATCAAAGAAATGTTTGCGACTTAAAAGGATTATTGAAATCCGTAAATTGCAGTTTTTATGTACCTTGGCTACATTAGCTTGCAGAAAACTGAAATTATTCGGTTTGCTGTATATCAGCTTCTAGGGTGAGAGCTTCTGTGTGATGTCAGCCTTTTTTTTGTCCTTATGTACATGCATGTGCAAATATTAACAGAAAATTCAGATTATGAGGACTTAAACGATTAGCCTGATTGGTTATGAAAACAATTGCCAAATAATTCAGTACAAATAATACTCAGTAATAGTCTAAACTCTAAAAAGTAATTCAAGGTCCCTTTTCCCACAACTTAACTACAGGCATGGTTGCAAGAAGCACACGATCATTTCTGAGTTTAGATAAAGCTTTTTAAGGTTTAAACATTGTTTAGTCAAGCTGTGTTGACATAATAATCTCAGTAATTTCATCTACCTAATATCGTGTTTAATTTAAACAATGCAAAGCTGCAGTAAATTAATAAAAGTGGCTTGATGATGTAATTTTTCTTCACCATAAGTTCAAGATTTCAAATAGTCTGAACAAATATGAATCAAAGGACAATTCAAGACATTTAGTTTCTTTTACAAATAAGAAGAGAATATCTTCAATAATTCCGATTATGTCTACGGAGGCTATAGGCCTGATAATAGAGTTGACAGAATATGTTGTGTAGCTACTACCAGTGGTGCAATTTGGCCATTCTACTCATTCATTAGACAAATCTGCTCAGCTCATGATGGCTTTTCATTTGTGCCATGGGGAGACATTTATTTTTGCTTATTTGTGTAACTGTAACAGCTGTTTGAATTTTCTTTAGCAGAGCCGTCTATTGGCCTGACTTATTGACTGAGTGTTGGTTCCATGTGACCTCTACGAAAGATTGCTTCAGTTAGAACGACATACTAACCAAACCGTGGGTCATTTCACTACCCTGCTTTTTATACCACTGTATGTTAGAGTTCACATGGATGTAGAGGTTGTTCCTCTTCTGCTCATGCAATATAGTAAAGATGAGTGCAGTAGCTGTATTGTTGTGTGCAAAATTAATTTCTTCTATTTGTGTGTTCTGCAGATAAAAGATGAATTTAACAGAATAGTTGTTAGAAACTTTTTTGGCCAAACTTGACCACTGCAACACAAAACTGTTGGACACAGTGTCATCAAGGGGCGGAGCTACAGGAGTGAGGATCTGATTGGAGCAACTTAATTTTCTAAATACCTTCAACTTAAATAAATATATCTATTAGCACATGGCACTTTTAACCCTCCTATTGTCTTTGGGTTCAATATGACCCCATTCATTGTTTCAGGTCTCTAAATAAGTGATTGACATACTTTTTTTCCTGTTTTATTTAAAGAGCTATTTACACATAAACTTGGGAAACAATTTTAATTCTGATAATTTTCTGGGGGTTTAAATTGCTGGGCTCAAATTAAACCCAAGGATAAAAGATGTCAGTCAATTTGAAGGTTAGGGTTGAAAGTTGATTTTAAATAACATGAAAACACCAGTTTGATCAGCTTGATTTTTATGAGTAATCAACTAAAAAACGTGTAATACCAATTATTAAGTCGTGCTGATTCAATATACCGGTCATTCTTTTAGATAAATCATTTATTTCTCACCTTTTTATTATCATTTTTTCCTTTGTTTACATGCTTACCAGCGTGCTAGCACTCTAAATGTAACGTGGACTCGGTGCTCATCCTGTCGCTGTCTGTTTAAGCACCTTGGAGAACTCCGCTCCGCAGCGCAGCGCAGCGCAGAATCGTGATCGTGCGTAAACTACGTCAAATCCGCACGGAAGAAGCAAAAAATGCTGCACTGACTGGAGCTGCCTCGTCTTCATCTTTTGTTGCTGCTTTCAGCTGACTCCATCGGGGTTTTTTTTTGCTTTGTTTTGCCTGCGTCGCTTTGTTACTGGAATCCTTTGGATATCAGATTGGTGATGGAGGCTGTGTGGAGCCTTTAGAGGGATGTTGCATGGCTCGTTTTCATCCTTCGCTCGGTAAGATGATGTCTTGCGTATTTCTTGCACATTTTCACTCGAGGCTTGTTTTTTCCACACGCAGTGGAGCACCTGTTAGCTGTGTGGTTGTGCTTTTACTGAGGCGTTACGAAACGCTCATGTTGTTATTTTGTCTCCATGCTGTAGATCGAGTTTCACTGGATTGGCCGAGGCACATGCCATTCAATACACTGCTCCTGCCCTGCGTGGTATAAACAGCATGGACATCGCACATTCCAGAGGGTCTAAATATATCTATTAAGGCCACAGGAGGGGGAGCACTGGTGTAGGGGGGGTTTATCCTGGGACGTTTCACTGTCGTGGTGAACTCGCACCACTTGAATTATCTTTTCCGGAGATTGACAATCGGTTATTGTGCCCACGGAGGAGAACTTGGCCCTGTCCAAACATGCCCTCGAGTTACAACGTGAGATCCAGGGCTCGGGAGAGAAACAGCGTCCTGAGCAGACCTGAGTTCATGTCCCTCAACCATCAGCCCCTCCGCGGCGGCAGCAGCAGCGGCAGCAGCGGCGGCGGCGGCGGCGGAGGCGGCGGCGGTGGAGGAGGAGGCTCCTCTGAGAGCCGAAGCAGCTCAAGACGACCGGGTCAGATCAAGCACCAAACAAGCCAGCAGAGCGAGGAACCTACCGACAGCGGCAGCAAGGACAGGAGGGAGTCCAACAAGATGCCAGAGGAAGACTGCATGCAGCTGAACCCTTCTTTCAAGGGAATCGCAATGAACTCCCTCCTCGCCATTGACATCTGTCTGTCCAAGCGCATGGGGGTGTGCGCCTCCACGTCCTCCTCATGGGGAGGCTGCCGCTCCATGGTCGCTCTGCTGGCGCTCACAGGGCACGGCATCACGTGGATCATTGGCACTATCGTGTGTCTCACGCGGAGTAACACTCTGGCTGGACAAGAGGTCCTAGTCAACCTGCTGCTTGGTAAATGCCACACAACACTCACCGAGCTCTCCAAAGCGTCAAGTGTGTAGCTCAGTGCCCAGAACGCACCATGCAGGAGTCATAGGAATGGCCTGCACCCACAATCTTGACTTGATTCACACTGTGTCTGTGTCAAAGGTTGACTTTTGCACCATTCTCTCTTCTGGCTTGTGAAATCCGTCAGCTGTGCCAGATGTTTCAGCAAGACACGTCTAAAAGTACATATAGTTTAAACCCAGGGGTGAATAAAAGTGTGACATCCAAGAGTGTGGGCAGCACTGTGTGACAAGACATGCTTTATTAGGTGTTTAATATGTCTTGTGTTACTGATTTAAAGAGCAGAGGGCAGGAATGATCTCTTTAAACTGCCCTTAGTAAAGCATCAATAAGTGATTTAGTAAAAGTTAATAAAGCCATTCGGAAAAGGCTTATAAATGTATTATAAAGTGCAGAAAGTGGTTGATTATTTACACATTATAATGTGCTGATTGACCCTCAGACGCCTTAAAGAAAAGATGCAAATACAGACTTTGCAAAAGGAAAAAGTGTCAGTTTGGTTTAGTCAAGACAGAATTTAAAACATGAATATGCAGATGTCTTACCTTTCCAAGTCTCATTCATTATCATCATCTCATGAAGCTGATAGTTGTCAGAGACGTGTGGATGTAACTCAACAGCATCTTCATCCAATCTGTTCTGTGAGTTCTTGCACTATATTGATGTTTAAGAGAAGGAAATTATAAGCCACATGTCACTGCATGTTCCCAGTCCATGCAGTTTAATACTGCCACACAAAGTATTGCTTCAGAATTCAGTTTTTATTAAATTGTGTTACACAACTATTGCTCAAAGCCGAATGGATTCACTAGAAAGCATAATAACAGTCTTTATTTAAGGAGCTTTTTGTGCTCCGGGGGTCCAGACAGAAAAAGATTTCTGTTGTTGACTCAGTGTTCAGTAATTTCTGTACTAATTGGAATAACGTTTAATAGACTTATCCCTGCAGTTAGGAGCAGACTACAGCAGATTTCTGTTTTTTCAGAATGACTGGGGGACCTGTGTGTTTGTTTGTTCATGTGCACATGTACCCACACATACATACATATATATATATATATATATACAGCCTCGACACAAACACAGATTATTGACCAAAAAGCAACACAAATCTTCTGGCCGTGGCCACACTGAGCTCTGAGTGGAAGCCAGTAAATCTCTGGATTTGGGACACTGTTGTATTGTGTTTAGGACATTGTTTGGCACCAAATGCTTGTTCATTATTTGTTGGTGCAGGATAATTTCTAGTCTATTTAGGTCTGTGGGGAGGAAAATCTACGACCGACAGTGGGTGGGGAATGAATATTTAATGGTGGCTGAAAGTATGTTTTGTTTCCGTTTATCAGCAAAGTAATCAGCCATGGCTGGTCTGTCGGGGTTGGTTTGATTCAGTCCGCTGCTGCGACCACGTGGGCTGTGCCACGCAGGAATGTTTTCCATATTTTGAAAATGCAGTTTAGTCACATGATGGTTGGGGCTGTTTAAAAGACAACATGAAAGAAACTCAAAAAGTAGATCTTACTGTGCAGAGGAGGGTCCCATGAACGCCAAACGGACTCAGTTTAATTGAAAAAGTGCACCTCCATACCAACCGCTATAGATGCTGCTGAACTGCTATGGTGCTAATTAATCAAGCTACAGAAGGAGAACCTTAAAGTAATGTTGTACACATGAGCAGCTGCATAACAAGACTATGCTGTAAATCTTTACAATTAGACAAAAACCCACAATTAGCATCAACTTTTATATACATTTACTGCATTTATTTTCATCATATTTACTGTATATCTTCTGTAAGTTGATGAGACGTGCTTTAATTCATCAGCGGCCTCAGTTTCTAAGTTTTAAAATGTCCGATACAGCAACAGTTGCTGGCAATTAGAGACCCGCTCCTCAAGTATGCACATGTGATTGCAGCAATATCACTAACATCCCTATCCCCGGCTGTACAGGGCAGTGTGGTGCACTTTAATTGTCCCTCTCTCTGTGCTGTAGTCGAGGCCTGCACGCATGGTAACAAACAAGACACGACCAGGCCACACAGCTGTTGCCTTTAATTAATTTTTCATTACACGCTGGAAGAGCTAGCTCGGTATTTAGCATTACGTTACAAGAACCCGAGTGCATCACATTTCTTTTGTGTTGGATGCAACACTTTAGCAACACTGCAAGCATTAACTGGACTGTTGTGACAGACGTTTTCATGGTAATGCACACATGTGGTATTTCTACAGAAAACTGTGTCTCAGTTATGGGTGAGGAATGTCTATTTGAGATTTAAAGACAGTAAATTAGAACAGCATCCTTGAGAAAAATGACCCTGGGCTCCCCATTGTGTTCCACATGATTGTCTACAGGGCTGTGGACCAGGCAGCAACTGCCCTGCGAGCGCAAGCAATTAATTTTTCTCAGAATGATTTGCTGGCCTCAATGAGTGACAGTCGAAGCCAAGAGCAGAAAGCCGTAGTGCCGGTATTCCTTCATGCTACCTCGGCGCAGTGAGAAACAATGAGCATTGTTGGTTTCCTTCACAATACAAGATGATCTATGGCAGCCTGACCAATTATCTGTCCACACCTGCTGCACTTCTTGGAACTGGAGTTTCCATTCTCAATATAGCAGGTTCCCCTTGAGCAGTAAATCTGACTTCAGCACCAAGGATCCCACTGCTCCAAACTAACAACACTCCTTTGCGTGATCAATAACTCTCCTCCGACTGACCGACATATGACTTTAAACATGTTATTACGCCCGCGAGCACTGCGTCTGTGCCGCCCCGTCTTTGACAGGCAAGAACACAGAAACGCTCTTTTGTGAGTCCGCAGTGACAGCGCGCCCTGCGGAACACAAAAAAATCCTCACTGGGCAGTAATACAATCTGCCAGCACGAGAAATTCTGCAGGGTAAAAGTGAGGTTTGTTAAAGAAACACAATGACTCGGTAATTTTCCACGAATATCCCCACATTGCTAATGTGCTGATGATACTAAAAGCTAAGACAAATTGAGTCATCAGTGTTGCTCTAGTCAGCTGAAGGGCACCGCCATCACACTTGTGCTTACAGCTGATAATATGATGCGTCACTGCTTGGCTCACCTTCTGCTTCAGTACTTCTGACATGTGGACTGCTGTAGGGCCCTGCAGCAAAGGCCCCACATCTCATTGTCTGTTTTTACTTCTTTTTATTTTTTTTTACGAGCTTACCCACCTCTCCTTTGGTGCATCTTTTTAAAATTTTCACCTCACTCGCCTGCATTTAAAGAGCCGGGATGGAAGTCAAAATAAGGGTCCCATTAAAACAGGAGGTAGGCGAGCAGAATGAGAAGTAGGACAGCGCAACCAATATGTCAGATTATTTAGCGCTGGCTCGGTTTGAGTGTGTGTGAAGATGACAGACTTGAAGTGATGTTAAAGGTGGCCACGGTAGAGATATTTTTGGGAGTGCTACACAGTTATAAAAGGCATCTACAAATGTCTGGTATGTGGACCTCGGAGCAAATGCTGCTCACCATTGTAGGCCTTTATGGTTATTCTTGGTCACCAAGATATCTGTTTACATTTTTACAACAAGTTGTTCCCGTCCTAATGGGAAGACTCACAAATCTAACATGAACTCAGGACACGGAAAGGTTAGACATGAGTAGTTCCATTTTATCTGACGCTATACTCCCACTTCGCGACAGTTCAGGTGGAAATATTGCAGATTTTTGAGGATCAGTCCCACGAGTCAGATACTAAATCATTGCACCTTCTTTTCCCTGCAAGCAGACAGCAAAAACAGACAAACTAAAAAGTCAAACTAAGATTTAGATCTTTTTCTTTGAAATAACAAAGCTCGAATGTCCTGATTTTTTATTTTTTATGGACAGTGTTGTTCCAAACCTTATCTAAGTACAAACTAGCCCTGTCCACTGGGCCCATCTGTGAATCGTTGTACTGATCTTCTCTCTTGGCTTGGTTTGTTCAAATTATTTTCTGGCTTAAAGCAAAAAAGGATGACTTAATATGAACTTGTGTGACATACTTTCATTTTTCCGTCCTTCCTACACCACTAACCCTCTCACAATTTCTCATTTTTATCTGAGGAGTATAGAAAGTAATATGATTCACTGATAATGCCTCTATATTTAGGATTTTATATCAGGATTTTATTTGTAATGGAGTGGTTATGTACTTTTTTTTTACATAACCACCTCAATATTTCTTCCACCACTCATTATCCAGGTTATATCATGTCACCACATTCCTTTTTTTTTCTTTCATAGCCCTCATCCTTGATGTCATGACTGTGGCCGGGGTCCAGAGGCTGGTGAAGCGGAGAGGCCCCTGGGAGATGACGCCGGGCTTCCTGGACTGCGTCGCCATGGACATCTACTCCTTCCCCGCCGCCCACGCCAGCCGGGCCGCCATGGTCTCCAAGTTCCTGCTGTCCCACCTGGTCCTGGCCGTGCCGCTTCGCATCCTGCTGGTGCTGTGGGCCTTCCTGGTGGGCGTGTCCCGGGTGCTGCTGGGGAAACACCACCTCACAGATATGGTGTGCGGGTTCGCGCTCGGCATGCTTCACTTTAGCCTGATGGAGACTGTGTGGCTCTCGTCGAGCACCTGCCAGACTCTCATTTCCATCAGCACGCTCAGCTGGAGCCCCTTTTTCTGAGGGTTTTTTGATATGCTAGCACACGAGGCTTGTTTGATACTCTAACCTTGCAACATTGAGGACTTAGGTAGTTATTTTTTTTTGCAAGGGTCAGACGTTTTTATCGCGGGCTGCGAACAAAAGAAGCACTATTATTTGGATGCAGACTTGCATGTAATACCCAAAACAGGCAGGTCACAGGACCTTACAAGGCCTTCATGAAGCTTCTCAAATTCTAGTGCTGCAAGCCTTTACTGCTACTTAGTTTCAATCAAACAGTGATAATAAAGAAAGAAAAAAACACTGCAAACTAATCACAAATTTTCCTGAAAATGTACATGAACGATTTCGTTTTTTTTTATTATTATTGTTTCGAAAAAAGCTCGTACCATGTATCCACGATTTAACATGATTTCATATCAGAACTCTTAGCACCATTTATTTCTCTCTTCTCTCTTTTTTAATTTAATTTTCAGGATGATGAAATACTAAAATTATGTTAAATGGAGTTTGGTGTTAGGCGGTATTATTGGATGTAAAATTTCAAATATATAAAGCTGTTGCTGTTTGGATATCGTTCCTGATTGGCATGACTATTATATTTGTGTACCTCTTGAATTTCTTTTATTCTGATGTTTATCACATGTGAACTTACTTTTGGACTGCAGCTGAATTCAGCTGCTTTATCTGCATTTGCATCCAATTTTTTCTTACATTGCCAAGTATGATTTCCTTTAATGTGCCATTTGTGAATTTCTGAGTTTAAATCTTCTTTTTATAGCAGATATTTCTCTTCAGCTCTTTCATTAGAGGCTCGTCAGGTCTGCGCATTAGCCTAGCAGATGTTTATGGTTTGCCAATGACACCGATTCTGTGCCCCACTAAACAACTGAAGCGTGTCTGTGTGTGTGAGTGTGTGAGTGTGTGTGTGCACGTCACAACACAGCAAAAAATATCCCTTTGAAATATCAGTTGTCAGGCCTTTTTTTCTGAATGTGTTTTTTATGGACCTTTGAAATGAAGCCTGCTGGGTTTCTTTGGCAAAAAATATTTCTGTGCACCGATTTGGTACAGTTCAATATAGTTTAGTGTATATTAGTTAGTTTTGTTGGTTGTGTACAGGGATCTGTATATGATGTTTTTACTCTGTTGTTCCATCTCATTAATAAAACGAGGTGGACAGTCGGGAAAACGTGGATGCCTGTGTGTTTTATTATTCCTAAACGTGGCGTAAAGATGCCGATAACAGTCAGAGCAGTTTGTTTTTATGTTCATTTTCTGGATGAGTAGCAGTAGCTTACAAAACGTGGGTGTTTGATATGCACCAGTTCATCTACTCCATTTGTAATACAACAGTTTGCAATTAGTTTACATTCAAATTTGGGATAATCTCTGTATCACAAAGGCTGAGAACACTGGATATAATTTAATAAATGGAGTTTTTACATTTGTAGAATCCTATAGGAGGCATAGCTGCTTCCTGGTTGGCTTCAACAACAAGTTGTTTTGATTGCTTCCAACATCACATGGGCTGTGAGGCGTCACATGGTGCACAGCATCAGCAAAACAATAAAGAAGTGCGGTTCATTTAAAGCGATGAAGCAACTCTGACATACTCATTATTCGCTTTCCAGCAGGCGAAGCCTTCAGGGGCAAAGTGTTCCAGTGTGACAAGTTACAATATGGCAGAACGAACATAGTGAATGTATGAACAGTGCATCTCAAATCATCTGCTCAACCGTCTCTAATTTACTTGAAACTTTTTTATTATATCATAAACTAAAGACATTTATGATGGGAGTTGGGAAATTTTAGCTTGATCCATCCATCCATTATCTATACACCGCTTAATCCTCACTAGGGTCGTGGGGGGCTGGAGTCTATCCCAGCTGACTTAGGGTGAAGGCAGGGGACACCCTGGACAGGTCACCAGTCTATCACAGGGCTACACTTAGAGACAGACAACCAAGCACACTCACATTCACACCTACGGACAATTTAGAATTACCAATTAACCTCAACATGTTTTTGGACTGTGTGGGAGGAAACCAGAGAACCCGGAGAGAACCCACGCTGCACGGGGAGAACATGCAAACTCCACACAGAAAGATCCCAGGTGTCCTCACCGAGACGCGAACCGGCGACCTTCTTGCTGTGAGGCAACAGTGCTAACCACCGAGCCACCTTGCAGCCCATCAAGGAATTCCAAGATACAACAAAAATATTGGTCTAATGTTGGACAGCCTGATTTAAAACGGTCAGTATTGCAGATTCTGAATCAACACCACGATGAGAAATACCAGTGAAAATGGAAAACTTTAATCTTCATTAGTTCCTGAGATTTTATTGGTCAAATGTTTCCTCAAATTTCAATGTGTGAAAAAACAAGCTGAAAGTCAAGTTTTAATCAAAAATTCTATCTTTTTATGGAATGAATTATAATGAATTTTCCGGCAGATCAGAGACGGTCGAGCAGAAGTCGTTCTAAAAATTTCATGATTTGAGATGGAATGTCCCAAATCAATCTTTTCTCTCGGTTCTAAATCATTTAAATTAGATTATATAAATGCGTCATTTCACAGAAGGAAAAAAAAACTTCACATGAAGCCGCACTGCAGTATGCAAAGTAGGAGCTCACTTGACATGAGTTGTTTATCACCCGACAGTATTTCAGTATCAATATTGCCTCTTTATAATCTTATCTACACTGATATCCTTTTACGCCAAGTTGTTTACTTGACACAGATATCACCAGGCAGTGAACATACATGTGCTGCTGCAACAGTATTCTCTGACTGTCTCTAAGACGGTGTATCCCCGGTGCTTCTCATGCTACTTTCCTGTCACACCACTCTTACCACAGAAAATCTGACAGGAAACAATACCAATGAACTGCTGTGTGCTCCGAAACTGTTCAAAAAGCAGGAACAGAAACTGCTTGAAAAGAACACTGGCAGAGAGAAAAGTTTCCATCTCTTCTGGTGAAATTTTACGAGACAGAAAACCTTGTGTGATACCTGGTGTACTATGTTAGTGATCAAAATAAATCAGTAAATGATTGAGGAACATTTGGACCACATGACTGAATTTGGACCAAGCATCAAGACAGAAACCGTTGCCTCGACTAATGTTAATTGAAGAAGTTTTTAATGTCCAAAGCAAGATCAAATATGATACATTTGCTCCCCGAAGGAAAGCTCTTCATGCTTATTAGTGCCACCATCAGGACAAAGATTACAAGCGAACATAAATAATATCAATAACTAACATATACAAGGAGACAGAAATATCTCAGTGCCAGTGACTGAGCTACAGTCTGACTGTCTACTACAGAAGACTTTCTTTGTGACTTCTTCCCCCTTTAAACCCCCAAACTTGAAAAGCATTTTGCCTTTAAGAAAACTGGCAAAATGACACCATTTTGATCATTCATATCACATCATGAATCAAAACCATAAACTGCAAAAACAGGCAGAATCACTGGATTTTCACTTTTCAATGCACCTTGAACTATTCAAGCGTTTCAAATCATGATATTTCATCAATATCCCTTTATTCCACATGTCTCTTTTAGGTTTTACCCTAAAATAAACTATTTGCACTGACAAAATTCTGAAACAATGTGGTGCTCTTTTTCAAACTCGAGAAACCATTAGTGGCTCAGCTACAACCAAAAGTCATGTGACAAAAAAAATCAGGGACTTTTTGTCTGAACTGGGCTGAACTGCAGGCGGTGTTTACACAGAGCAGAAACAGAGACATGTATGGACATAAATTAAAAATCTGAGAAGTAAAATATCTTTAGTATGTAGAAATAAACTCCCCCTTCCCCCAGTATTGTTAACATCTGATGGCACTTGGAAAAACGTTGCACATGCTGATTTAAGTAATCAAAGATTAAACTTTTGTTTCTTCTTTTTCGAGGCTTATATCATTTTAACTGTGCCATACTGAAAACACATGTCTAATTCCATGGTTGTACTGTTTCCACAGAGATGCAGGACTTTATATTGCAGTTGAGCCCACAGAGAGGAAAAACTTCTTCATCTTTTCAGGTATCCTCTGAAATAATCCTGCGAGAACAAAAGAAAAAAAAAAAGTGCCGTGTAATATATTAGTCGTGAAAATACCCCAAGTTAACAAAATGTCTTTGATTGAATGACAGCTGCTGGATCACTGGGGGACTTTTGCATCTTTGCTAGAACCAAAACAAAGATTAGACAAGTGCTCCCTCTAGTGGAACATTCTGGAGCACAGCTGAGAACTCCAGGAAATAATCCATGATGAACACTGGCAATGCTATACAGAGCTTTTATTTGTTTATTTGTTGAAAATGTACTTATTTTGTGATTTAAAAAAATGATTCAAAGCAAAGAAGAACAAGGGACAAACAAACATACAACAAAAACAAACCTGTCATTCAATCTTATGTAATTCACCAAGCTATAAAAACCAGATCTGAATATTTTTTAACTAAACCTTTATCTTACATCATTTTGATTGTTCTTGAAATTAAGCAGAAAAATGAGTATGAATATGAATGAAAAGCTAGAAAAGAAAAATGTTTTTTGCTATACTATAAAAGTTGACTTAATTAATATTATTTTTTCTGCCAGTTAAGGTCAGGAGGATGCTTATACTATTGTTTTAAAGCTAAAAAAATATATACTTTATACATGCTCTAAATGCATTTAATCTCAGGGGGGCTACTGTATTTTGTGAGGTCTAACTCAGCTCCCACACCAGAGTCCCAGATCAGCATGTTTGCACGATGTAGGTGGAGCAGTTCTGAAATGTTTCATACTGAATACTGGTGAGTAGAAATATTTTATGTTACATCACAAGCAGGATAAAATACAGTCATGCCAGTTATGTACTACAAGCAAGAAACCTGCTTGCCTATTCTAAATAATGACTCCTAAAGGCAGATGCTTAACAATGATAATCGTTGCACCATCGGTTGACCTTTTTGGAAAACAAAATTTACTTTTTTATGAAGACGCAACAAAGACGCAATGAGTTTTCCCTCAGATTTATATGTGCGGGCTTTAAACTACGCTGGTTTTCTTATGACTGCTGAAATTCCAACATTTAAATGAAGTGATTACTCTGGTCTTTAAATACATACAATATATTATTCCAGAGTTTGAAAGATATATAGAATACAACAGCAGCAACAGAAGAAGAGCTTGAGTATTAGAGAATCAGACAAAGTTTGCTTTTTAAATTAACACTCTGCCCCTTAGAGGAGAGGTGCTCATCACAGATAAACCTACACTCTAAGTTTATTGCCATTATGCTTCCATTATGTTGTAAATGTATTTACTTTGAATGCAAAAACTTACATCTTATCCCTGCATCGGGACGGCATAATAATATATATATATATTCTTTTCAACCACAATTCAAAAGCAATGTCTTATTTCACTAAACTATAATTTAGCAAATTTTTATTTATTATTACTTTTTTCAGTTTCTAGTTATTTGAGTGACTATTGTGAATTTTGCCTTTTCTTTAATGGAAGGGTATGAATACATTTGAGGATGTGCTCATCATTTGTCTCTTCAGTTCAGTCTGTCATTTTTTAAAAATAATAATAATATTAAATACAATATTAAAGCGTATTTTTAGCCTGACATTTATTGTTGTCTTCGATTATACAGCCATAAAAAAAGTTGATTAACATCTTGTGAAAATGCCGGAGTGCGGTTGTTTCTGTAACTGCAGTAATAAACCAGCAGAGGGCGGTAGCTGCATTTCTTGCCGGGCGACGTCGTGTGATGACGTATGACGCACGGAGCCGAGCCGATCCAGCCTCCACTCTGCCCCGTTCATTCTCAGGCCGGGTAGGACCCCAGCAACAACACTGCGATCGGTTCAACCTATGAAGATTCGGCTTTACAATCGCAATCCATCCTTTGAGTAGACAACATTTTGCGGAAATATATCACTGTCACTGATCAGAAGACACCCTAAGTTGTTGAATCGGTGAGTTCTGAGTGCGGATAAGTGCGTTAAATCTCCCCGTTTTGCTCGTCTTCTCAGCTGCCCAGTTTTATTGTTGCTTTGTTCTGGGCAGCAGCCATTTTTAATCGCCTTGTCCTACATTCCCATCGCTGTCTTCAGAGCGTTCAGAAAGCCAAGCAAGTTTGAAAACGATAGCATGGGTCCGGGTGGTTTTGCACAAAGATTTCC